TATTTTGTGAAAATATGAGAGAAGTTGGATATAAATTGTTATTTTTTTAAAGAAGTATAATAAATAGGCTACACAAAAAATTATATTTTTTTAATTCAAGTCTGCACATTTTTAATTAATCAAACGTCAACTAAAAAGTGCGCACGTTTATCTCGAAAGATTCTATACATAAACTGGATGACTCCTTTCCACCCTTTCTATCCATTCAAGTAATTTACGTTCAAATTTTTATTCTGCATGTTAAAACCATGCATAACCGATATCGATTAAGAAAGATGAATTAGGAATCCAGTTTATTACAAAAAATATATTTTTTTTATTTAAAAATAAATAGTTTATATTAAATCTTTTATTTAAAACTTGTTTAATGAGCTATTTGAAAATATATTTAAAATATTTGCAAAAACACTTGAAAATAATAATTTTATAAATAATTTGTGAAAAATAAAAACAATAAAAAATTAATATTAAAAGGCGAGATATATTAAAATTTTTATTAGAGTGTTTAAATAATAAAAAATTAAACTTTTACTTGTATTTGCACAATATAATTTTTAATTATTAAAACAAACAGCAAAATTTTAATTTATTTTAAACAAATTTTATATATTGTAAATGTAATTTAATTACTATTTAGTAACTATGCTCTATGTCACAAAAATGAAAATTAGTACATTTAATATTTAACGATATTTTTTATAATTACATTAATTATCTTTTAAAAAATAATTTACGTTAAACAATTATTAATAAAGTATTAATTACATAACAATGCATTTATAGGTTTGTTAGAATTCAAACAAAGACAAGTTTGTAATGTGTCAAGTTAATTACATATAAAATAACAATAGTCAAATAATTAAAACAGGATCAGGGAACCCACATGAATCAAGTATATTAAGTCTTATTTATGAAAATCATTAAATTTACTAACAAACAAATTGATTAGGCCAACTAACGAGCTTATTTAATCGAGGATGACGCTTTTTATTATAACAAAATTTTTAAATAACTAAGCGTTATACATAAAATAATCAACGCTATACGTAGATGCTATACGTGATACATGTTTCGACCTAGATTGGTCTTCTTTAGCCACCTCATCGAATTACAAATAAAATATAAAACCATAAAATATAAATTAATACGTTACATTCGTAGAGTCAATTTCAATAAAATGAGTTAAAATTTATGAGCAGTCGTCGGTGTAATGAGATTGAAACCTTCGGCACAAATTCATTGTCGAGTGTATAAAAATCCAACGGAATGATCGATCAGTTGGCGAGGATTAAAACGTCATTATTGAAGTCTAGGTAACGACGTTAAATCGTAGATTTCAGAATAAAAATTTCAATGATGAATGAAAGAAAATTTAAGTCGAACTGTTCGATGTCAAGTGCAAATAAGAACGTATGAGCAACCAAGGAGACATAAAAAATGCTGTCATCCTCGTTTAAATAAGCTCATTAATTTGGCCTAATCAATTTGTTTGTTATTTACAAGGACGAGCTAGTCTTAAATTATTTATTTAATTTAATGTTTTAACGATGCAAATACCACAATCGAAACTCGAATTTAGCTTATAATAATCGTTCTGTCCGCTTCATACGGACGTCACTCGTCATATACATGTTATATATGAGTCGTGATTCTTGATACATATTTAATACAATAATGATAATCGCTGGTATTTTATCTATATAGAATTTAATATTACAAAGCGCTTTGATGTTGCCGAGTCTGTCTTGGTCACTTCCTCCGTCAGACGTTTATTAAAGTTAATTGTCCAATATATAATATGGAATAATCCACAGTCTTTATTCAAAACTCGCCAGTGGTTTTATGGTCGACTTGAAATAACGTAAGGTTGGCCGAGGACCCTCACTTTGGTTGCAACGTGATATTTGTATATTCAGGAGCGAGACTCGGATCAGGCCCGACTGTTGTACATCGCCGAATTCCTGCCTTTCCCACCTATCCTTTTTGCTCACTTTATAGCTTATTTTTACCTATTACATATTCTTACAAGTTCCATAAAACTTATATCAAGTAATACTCTGTTGCTACTTACAAGTTATAAGTTTACATCTGCGAGTATCGTCAATATAATGAGAATGAATGTGAAACTTATGTCCTTCATACTTGTACTTACTGTAGTGTTATTGGAAGCAGAAGAAAGTCTGTGGCAAGACTTAGTTTTTTTGTATGGAAAGCCTTTTTTTGCTTAACTTTCACCATTTTAAGAGTTCTGGTATAGTGAGAGTTAAAAAACCAGAAGATATCAAAATAGGGAGCAATATAACCACATTGGATTTTGTAAGTACAACAAAAGAATTGTCTTTTAATATTTTGACTTATTAAAGGCATATTCGAAAAAGAATTGCTCAAGTAAAATATTATTCAGATAGAAAATTTTGTTGATACATAAAACATATCGCTATTATAAACAATTGTATGTACAGCAAAGTATTTTATAATCAGTAACAATATAGTTATCACATATTTTTGTTCAAGCAACAAATATATTGAGTAAAGCAACATTGTTTGAAAGAAACGTCTCAACTCATTCTAAATTACGAGATGTTTAAAAATAATTTCGATACCGTTAGAAATTAGATAATACGTTTAAAATCTTTAAAAAACGCAATGTTGTGGAAAAAAGGGACAATTAGGAATCGGGTTGTTAAACAATGCACAAATTATATACGGTTCAATAATATAATTTCAATAATACATGATTCTACAAACGTTTTGGCTCCAAATCATTCTTAGTGTAGAAACAATTCGAAGCATCAATTTCAGTATATTAATTCCGTGTCCTTGAGCCTGCCTATTGTTGATCCAACCTCTCAAGAATCTTGCAAAGCTAATTTTAAACTTTCTGTTTTATCTTCTTTAAATTATCTTTTTTGCATAATTAAACGAAACAGGCCAAAAATGACCATTTACACTGTATATCATGCATATCTATAATATAAATTACAGCAAAAAATTACTTTGGGACTACGTGCCTCTTATAGATTATTGGATGCTGAGAACGATGCCGTAAGAGAAAGAATTCTAGCACGTCAGATTTCCAAGATAATTGAGATTTAATACTTCAAAAATAGCTTTATTTTTGCGATTTTGAAATTTTTTTTATTAAGAAGGTTAACGTTATCTTAAAATTTCGATCACAAATGGAGTCACGAATGTATTGTTCATGTCCTATAAAATGCATTTTTTTTTATTTCAATATCTTACTTTTTAATGTTATGAACTATTAAAAATAAAAGCTATTTTGAATAAATGAGGACTCCGATAACAAAATCACTTTAAAACAATAACGCCTTAGAACATATATTACTGGAAGGAGAATTGCCTATACCGTCCATGCATTGAGCTGAAGCCAACATACGTATGTGCGAGAGAGAAAGGTATAGATTTTCAATTGTCTGTCATGCGCATGTGCCATTCAGCCCCCACTTAGTCCCGTTTTTCATTTTTTTAAAAAAGATTTTCGAAAAATAAGAAATTAGGCAAAACTGGCAGAGTGGGGGCTGAATGGCACATGCGCATTACAAACAATTGGGAATCTATACCTTTCTTTCTCGCACATATGTTGGCTTCACGTTCAGCACTCTATTCTCCTTCCAGTAATATACGTTCTAAGAACAACGCACATACACACACATAAAGAGATTGTGAGAGAGAGGGGCAGGAAGAGAGAAAAAGAAGGGGAGAAAGAGAGAAGAGAGAGAGAGTTGTTTTATGAAAGATATGTAGTTGCATATTACAAATTGCATTTTTTTTAAAGTGACTATATATTTTTATTACACCATTGGATTAGTCTCATAATTTTGTGCATAAAAGTATTAAGGTATAGTTATAAAAAATGTGGCTTTAATTGTAAAAAATTAATTTGCATACACATATGACGCTGCCTGGATCGAGTCCCTATATTCAAAATAGCTCCTATCTTTAATCGTTCATAACATGGCTAAAAAGTAAAAAGGAAAGTATTGAAAAAAAAATACATTTTATAAAGAATGAACAATACATTCATGACTCTTGATTGAAATTTCAAGATTTAACGTTAACCTTCTTTATAAAAAAATGTCAAATATCACAAAAAAAACTATTTTTTAAGTATTAAACCTCAATTATCTTGAAAATCTGACGTGGTAGAATTTTTTTTGTAGACTAGTGTTATTATTATTATTATTTTGCACGTGAGCTTTACTGCGGCCCCATAAATGATAAACATTTGATTGATCAACCATTAAGTGATTAAATAACATTGTTTTAATTATAATCTGTCGAATACGCAAGTATTACCATACACGACACTTTTTCGACGGATTCATGTTCGAGCCTGCAGGACAATTCCACGCGGTACTAAATTCTTTGGAATTCTTTAATACAGCCTCAAGTCTCACGTGAAAAGGACAATGAGAATCGTGCTGCAGCATCCACTTCAGTGATGCAGCAATATAAGACTCACACGATATCTGAAACAGTGAAATAATTCAATCGATATTTATCCACAATTTCAACATTATAGAAGCAATTTTTACGAAGAATTTAAAATATAACGAGGAGAATATAATTAAATGGAAATATAATTAAATGGAAGTTTTCATACTATGTATACAGAGTGTCTCGCACTCAATGGTACAGCGCTTGTGGGCAGGTAGTGTGGACCAAACTGAACAAAAAAGTCCTCTACCATTTTACGATCTTCGTAATAGTTATCGAGATACTAATCATTTAAAAAAAACAAAAAATTTTACATAATGGCCAAGTTTTTGCTTTACTATGATCATTTTAATAACTTTAAGTCTGTTCTACGAAACTTAAAGTTATTTGGAAAGACAATGGCATTAAACTTTTGCTACATATAATTTTGAATAATTTAAACGATTTATTAAAAAAATGTTTTTGTGGTTTGAAATAAAATATTTTTGTCTTTATGTCTAATCAAATACTTGGCAATTTGTATAATCTCATATTTGTTTTTGGACAACTTTTATTTGTTAAAATAATATTTTTGGTTTAGATAAGATATAACTAATGTACGATACACTTGTATATACTTGGCGTAAATTTTTTTTCAATGTATCTTTAATTTTTTTTAATTAGTATCTCGATAACTATTACGAAGATCGTAAAATGGTGTGGCGGTGCGCGTACGGCCCGCGCGCCGAGCCCGCGCGCCCGCTACATAACGAGAGTGATACGCGGCGCCGCCGCTAGGTACCGCAGGCGCCACTACTTTCTCGTAATTAAAATTCACCCATGCCCGCTATATCTATGACTCTGTGGGAGGTCCTCAGCCTGTTCCTCGCTTGCAGGATAACGCGAGCTTACTCGTAGGCCGTTATCCTGAAGCATTTTGTCAGTAACCGACAGACGGAGAGTGCTCAACGAGCCTCAGACGTTGAAGGGGAGCAGAAATTCCGGCCCTTCAATCCTGAGCGTGCTCAGGGCCTCCGCCGCTTCCGACGCCTCGTCATAGCTGCCCGCTCCGGGTTAGTCTCACCGTGCCGTTCGAAGGAATAGCCAGCATCACGCCAAGAGCGAAGAAGCGGGGGCCGCTTGTTCCCCCCAGGGCGCTTGACCGCCATACCTCGCCGCAGAAGCTGCCAGCGACCTCCGGCGTTTCCGAACGTGGCCTGGACCCGGGAACAACATTCCGTCCTTGGCGTCTGATCGCCCTCTAGCTGCCAGAACGAACGGCGCAGCGGACCCACGGTCACGATCAACCGTCGACCGGGCCACCCAAACGGAGGGCGTTTTCAGTCCGCCGAGCCCTCCATTGAGGACGCCGACGAAGTCGCGAACTCCGGGCCCCAGGAGCCCTGCTGCCCGGTTCCGTCGCGCGCCCGGTCGCTCGCAAACTACACCGGTGCCATCGGTCAAGCGCCCTCGGAATCCTCCGGACGATTTACGGAAGTACTGCGTCGAATCACGCAGGCTTCACCGGACCGTACAAGGTTGCGATCGGTTGTGAGCATCCCGCTCCAACCGATCCCGCGCTTTAGACGCCGACCCTTCGTCCAGGACCAGACGAAGGCCCTGTTTAATTTCCTGGGTAAGGAAAATCTGCGACGCTAGCCCCTTCGCATCTCTCGGCGCGGGCACATTTGGGTGCCACCCGACTTACTTCCTATCTCTCCTTGGAGTCAATCCTTATACGAATCTTTACACTGACATTCCTACCCTTGTAAATATTCTAAATATAGACAAAATGTTAACTCTAAGCGGAGTCATTTGTGGATTTCTATTCATTGCGTTTCTTCTCCTGATCTCCTATCACCACCTCCGTCGACAAAGTGGTGACCCCGACGTGATCAGGCAGGACGCAATCGCGCCAACATCAAAGATTTACATCACGCCAACGCAGAAAGTTCCCGCCGCGATAACGAAGAAGATCTCCGCCGCGATATTGCAGAAGATTTCCGCCGAGACATCGCAGAAGATTTTCGTCGCGACCACGCAGAAGATCTTCGTAATGACCGTGCAGAAGATTTCCGTCGCGTCAACTCAGAAGATTTCCGACGAACGGCTCACAGAAATCGCAGCCATGACGACGCCACCAGCTTCCATCCCCTGCATCGAGGCACAAGCCGTGTTCCTTCAGGATGAAGTCAATCGGGTAGGCTTGCGGATGCCCGAATTCACCCCGGCCGATCCGGAACTGTGGTTTAACATCACAGACCGCAGCTTCCAGGCATTACTCAAGACGCAACCAAATTCGGTTACGCTCTCGCATCGGGCCGCGTCACACTCTCAAGGTTCGGAATATCATCATAAACCCGCCTGCAGAGAACGCCTACGGCACACTGAAAGCAGAGCTAATCAAGAGGCTCAGCCTATCGCAGGAACACAAAACATGACAACTCCTTGAGCACGAGGAAATCGGCGACCGGAAGCCTTCACCATTCCTGAGGCACCTCTGGAACCTCGCCGGGACTGTGGTAGGCGATGGCGTATTACGCACCATCTGGCTCAGTAGACTCCCTGCGCACATACAACCGCATCTCGTGTCAAGGACCAACGATACTCTCGACCAGTTGGCAGAGGTCGCGGACACGATTATGGAGGCAACCAAAGCCCCGACAGCCAAAATCTCCGAGGTGATTCCTGCTACTGCCAACGCAAACGTCCTACAAATGCAACACCGTTTACTGCTCGAGCAAATAGCAGCCATGCAAAACGAAGTTGCAGTCTTAAAATTAAGAGAAGGTGGTAGAGACAGATTCCTATCACGACCACGAACTCGATCACGTTCTAGACAACGAGGAATACCCACCTCGAGGTGGGTTGGTACCACCGCAGATTCGGGCAGGCCGAGAAGAAATGCCAACCGCCGTGCATTTAACGTTAACCTTCTTTATAAAAAAATGTCAAATATTGCAAAAAAAAACATTTTTTAAGTATTAAACCTAAATTATTTTGGAAATCTGACGTGTTAGAATTTTTCCACTTTGTGGACGGAAGTAATGATAGGAGATCAGGAGAAGAAGCGCAATGAATAGAAATCCACAAATGACTCCGGTTGATATTAACAGTTCGGTTATATTTCGGGATATTTACAAGGGAAGGAGAGTCAGTGTAGGATATTCACATTTGCGTAGGATTGTCTCCAAAACGAAATAGAAAGTAGGTCGGGTGGCACCCGAAGGTGCCCGCGCCGCGAAGCGCGAAGACTAGCGCCGGCGAGGCAGAAGGTTTTCTTTCTCCAATGCACTAAAGAGAGCCTTCGTCCGATCTTGGACGAAGAGCCTGCGTCGGAACCGTGGGATCGGCTGTAGCGGAATCGAGACCATCGATCGCAACCTTGTGCGGTCTGGAGATGCCTGTGCGATCCGACGGAGGAGATCAGCGAACCGTCCCGGGAACCTGGAAGGTGGCGAGCGCCCCGACGGCGTCGCTGGCAGGCGGCCTGGAGTACGGAGTGTCCGGACGGAAGGGCTCTTCGGACGTCCGGGTGTCCACGGTTTCGTCGGCGTCCTGACTGGTGGACTAGGTGACCTCCTTGGTCTGCGTCCCTCGGCTGACCACCGGCCGAGGTCGAGGGTCCGAGGGTCGCTGACTCTGTGCGAACGGTCAGGCGACGTCGATGGGTGACAGGCGCCACGGGAGGAAGGCTACTCCGGGATCAGGAAGACGCTCGGGAGTGTCGTCGGTCGTTGAAGCCTCCCGTGGTGACGAGCGGCTGCACTTCTTGAGGGGACAAGGCGATCCCCTTTTCTTTGCCCGCAGCGTGGTGACTGTTCCTCCGACGGTGGTAGCATGAACTCAGCCCGGGCGGGCAACGACGATGAGGTGTTAGCGGCAGCGGAGGTCCTGAGCACATTCAGAACTGAAAGACCGGATCTTCCGCTTCCCTTCTGTTTCTGAGTTCCGTTGAGCGCTCTCCGAGGTTTGGTTACAGTCAAAATGCTTCAGGATAACAGCCTATAGCTAAGCACACATTATCCTGCAAGCAAGGAACAGACTGAGGACCTCCCACGGAATCATAGATATAGCGGGCGTGGGTGAATTTTAATTACGAGAAAGTAGTGGCGCCTGCGGCACCTAGCGACGGCGCCGCGTATCACTCTCGTCACGTGGTGGGCGCGCGGGCCGTACGCGCACTGCCACAGCACTCCCCTGCCAGTGGGGAATCCACGATTATCTGAGGCCTGCCTGGAACCGGTCCGGGAAGTGGACTCGTCGTCCGAACCTTGTGACTCTTTGAGTCGGTTCCGTTTTATCAGGAACTTGTGTTGAGGTTTCCTCTGTGTCGGTCCTCTAACACGTAGGCAGGCTTGACTCTGTCTATCGATATATTGACTATCTTATTGATTTTGACTCGGATTGTCTTGTCCATTCGCTCTATGACTTGGAACTGCCCGTCGTATGGCGGTTGTAGTATTGTCTTTGGCCCGTCGTGTCGTATGAAGACGTGGCTGGTCGTTGCGAGGTCTTTGAAAACGAGTGCCTTTTGTGCTGCGTGGATGGTCCCTTCTTTTGGTCGCAACTGTTCAAACTGCTGGCGCAGTTTTGATGAGATGTGCTGCGTCATCAGCAGTGTTGATAGACTCTTTGTTCAGGAATTGTCCTGGTAGCCGGAGCGTTTCACCGTAAACCAGTTCGGCTGTGGTTGCGTCCAAGTCGTCGCGCCAGGCGGCGCGGATGCCCAGAAGGATTGTAGGCAAGGCTTCTGTCCACCTGTTGTTTGCGTGACATCGGATTGCAGCTTTTAGTTGGCGGTGGAACCTTTCTACCAATCCGTTTGCTTGTGGATGGTATGATGTCGTGCGTAGGTGTTTGGCCTGTCAGTTCGTTCAGCTGCCTGAACAGTTGTGATTCGAACTGACGTCCCTGGTCGGTGATGATTCGCAGGGGCACACCGAAGCGGCTGATCCAGCCATTGTAAAACGATTTAGCTACTGTCTCTGCTTCTTGGTTCTCCATTGGAATGGCTTCTGGCCATCTCGTGAAGCGGTCTACGCAGGTGAGGCAGTATCGGCATCCTTCAGATACTGGTAGAATGATAATGTTGAGATAGACGTGCTCGAACCTTTTGGTGGGCAGAGCAAAGGTTCCGTGTAGAGCTGATATGTGTCTTGTTATTTTTGAGCGTTGACAGGCTGTATAGGCTTGTGTCCATTCCTGGCACTCTGCATTGATGGATGGCCACATGTAGCGTTGTGCCACGAGTTTGGTGATTGTCTTGACGCCTGGGTGTGCCAAGTTGTGGATCGTTTCAAAGGCGGCTTGTCGAAACGGCTTGGTTAGGAATGGACGTGGCGTCTTGGTTTTTGTATCGCACCAGATGGCTAAGCCTGCCGGTAATTTCGATCTTCTTGAGTTGTAGACCTTTTTCTTCGCCGATAAATGATAACAGTTTTTGGTCTTCTTGTTGAGACTCAGCCAATGCTTTATAATCCATGGTTGACTGTATTGCTTCTATCTGTGATAGAGTGTCGGTGGTTACGTTTTCTTTTCCTGATACATGGCGTATGTCGGTGATGAATTGTCCGATTTAGTCGAGATGCCGGAATTGTCGTGATGTGCACTTCTCCGGTCTTTGGCGGAAGGCGAAGATGAGTGGTTTGTGGTCGGTGTAGATCACGAATTGGCGAGCTTCTACCATGTGTTTGAAGTATTTGATTGCTAGGTAGATTGCTAGCAGTTCTCGGTCGAAGGTGCTGTATTTTATTTCGTGGGATTTAGTTTCTTGGAGTAGAAGGCCAGTGGTTCCCAGTCTTTGCCATGTCGTTGTTGGAGAACTGCTCCAACGCAGCGGTCTGATGCGTCCGTGAAGAAAGCTAGTTCGGCATGTGCCTTGGGATGTGCCAGTAGCGCAGTTTGAGCGAAGCTGTTTTTTGTGGCTTCGAAAGCTTTTTGTGTTTCTAGCGTTTTCCACTCCAGAATTGTAACGCCTTTTTTGGAACCGAGGAGATCGTGGAGTAGTGCTTGTGCTGCCCTGGGTATGAATCTTCGGAGCATACCCAGGTAACGCCTGAGTTCCTTGGCTGTTTTGGGTAAGTTGTACTCCTGTAATCCTTTGATTCGGTCAGGTAGCGGTTGTGTACCTTCCGAGTTTACTAGGTAACCGAGAAAGGTTACTTGGGAGCGCCCGAAAACACTTTTTGCTGGGTTGATGACTATGCCGTATTCGTTTAAGCATCCAAAAAGGATGCGGAGGTGCTCCAGGTGTTCTTCCTCTGTCTTTGATGCGATCAGTATATCGTCGAGGTATGCGTAGCAAAAGCTTAGTCCACGCAATACCTCGTCGATAAATCGTTGAAAAGTTTATGCTGCGTCGCTAACCCGAACGACATGTACGGGAATTCGAACATCCTACACAGCACAAATGACTGTTTGCCGGCTAATAGTCGACTTTTTTTAGTCAAGTTAAAGCCGACTATTAAAGTCGACATTAAGCCGTCTATTTCTAAGTTGGTTTTTGTCAACTTTAACTGTCGACTGTAAGTCGACTCAGAGTCAACCATTTTTAGAAAATCAAAGTCGCCTTTTACTGAATAATTACAAGACTGTCGCTAGATAGCGTTTGCCGATATCTGTTTCTCGCATTTAAAATTTGTTGAACTCCTCTATATAACCAATGTCAAATCGAAGTTCGGATATGTCATAATTAATTATACATTATTCATCTATGCACTTAATGCGAGATGAATAATGTTTTTGTAACATATAAGCTAATATAAATGGGTATAAGTACTTAATGGTCACTAATAGAAAGGCGAAGATATTTTTGAATTTTGATATTTTTAAATTAGAATATTCTCGGAATTGCTTTAATGTGAAATATATTAATTTTTTACCCGTTATACAAAGCTTGCGTGATTTTTGCCATAATCTAACTAATGTTGGCTTATTGTATTGGCTAAAAGTCAACTTATTGTATCGGCTAAAAATCAACCTAGTCAACATAACCTAGTTGGCAAATAAAAAATGTCGGCTTATAGTTGCCATAAAGTCAACTTAAAGTCGACTGACATGGCTGACTTACAGCCGACTATAGTCGAGACATTTGTCGACTGTTAGTAGGCTATAAGTTGACATTTAGTCTGACTTTGAAGTCGACTTTAGACTTCTTCTGCCGACTGACAGTCGACTAACAGTCGATTTCGTGCTGTGTGGGATGCCGAAGGGTTGTGATAGCCATTTTCTCGATATCTTTCTCGACAACGGGTATTTGGTGGTACACTCGCACCAAGTCTAGAGTGGTGTAAATTCGGGTGCCCTCCAGTGCCTGTGCAAAGTCGTGTATGTGGTGCACGGGGTATCGATCAGGTACCGAGCGTGCGTTTATTGCCCGGTAGTCCCCGCATGGTCTTCAATTCTCCCCTTTCTTGGGGACAAGATGGAGAGGCGATGCCCAACAACTCTTTGATGGCCTAGCGATGCCGAGTTTAATCATGTTTTGAAACTTTTGCTTGACAATGGCCAATTTGTCTGGTGCTAGCCTCTGTGGTTTGCAAGCTACTGGAGGTTCTAGCGTAGTTTAAGATAATTGGCTATTGTGTTGTAATTCTGGAATGTTGGCTTACGTGCGCGTAAGAAAGGAAAAGTAACTGCTCGTGCGTAAACTTCGTGAATCCCGGAAGTAGAGGCTCCCGTTTTTATGAAATGGCGGGTATTGTGTTTGATCTGCCGAGGTCGTCCGTCTGGCCTTGTGATGTTAGGGAACTCACTAACAATAAGTAACGCGTGATATGACGTGGTTCCTGACGTCGTCCTGACGTAGACCTCGTTAGGGTTAATTTTACGTTCTGGTACAGTCAGGTTGGTTACCTTTGCATGCACATGGTAAAGGACTTTTTTGTTTAGTTTGGTCCACTTTACCCGCCCACAAGCGCTGTACCATTGAATACGAGACACCCTGATGTATATACACGGAAAAAACAATTTTGCTGAATCCAAATCTGAAAATAATTTTTGTTCAATAGTCAAAATTATTTTATGCAAAATTATTTTATGTCAAAATGATTGCTAGAACATCAAAACGTTTTATAGCAATACTTATCAGTTTTAACATTCCAACAAATTATTTTAATGATTAAAAAAAAAATTATTTTCAGATTTGGTTTTAGTAAAATTTTTTGGTCTTTCAACAAAATCGGTCTTTCCGTGTAATTATATAAATGATGTGTCTTAATATTGACAAACGCATTAAAATCAATGAAATTAATGGGACTCAGACAAATCGAAGATATTAAATATCAATTTATCAATCACAATTTATTGTTATTAGACTGAATACCAATTGTAATTTATCGTTATCGGTCTCGCCATCTACAATTTTGACTTATCTCGTATAATCGAGTATTTAAATGTAATTTTTTTTTAACAAAGATCGTCCGTTGTAAACCGAGTTTTTATTCGATTCCCGTAAAGCGGCAATAAAAAAGCAAAGGTGGATCCAGTTCTATAAATTGATGATTATCAAATGATCAAAGAATTTTACAATTTAGAAATGTACGATTCATTTAAATATGAATCAGACAAATCCGAGAACTCCCATCGAAATTTCCCTTTCTCTACTATTTAAGGAAAATATTTTTCGACTATTTTATCATTAAATTTCTTAAGACATAAAAATTCCTTAAGACATAATTCCTTAAGATTTAAAAACGATTTTTTTCTTCCACAAAAGTGTAAAACTGATAAGAATATGGAAATTGATGTATGAACAATAAAATATTAAATATAAATGTTATATTAAAATATTTAAAATATTAAATTAGTATTATAAAACTTTTCTTTTTACAAATTTATTAATTTTCTTACTTTATTAAATATTTTAGTTATTTCCGTTAAACGATTAAACATTTGAAAACTTTATACAGCTAAGAAGTTTCAATTTGAACATATCTAAGATAATTGGCTATTGTGTTGTAATTCTGGAATGTTGGCTTACGTGCGCGTAAGAAAGGAAAAGTAACTGCTCGTGCGTAAACTTCGTGAATCCCGGAAGTAGAGGCTCCCGACCGTGCCGGGCCTTCCACCTCTCGTAACCGATCACGGCCTCGTGAAGGCCACCATTATCGGCGATGTTCTCGCCCAAAGTCTGTTCGCCATCGACGGAAATGTCGATCTGTGCAAGACGTATCATTAATTCATGGACATACTCGAAGCAGGTCATTTAACTCCTTGAAACTGCGCGGCCAATTTTTGCTCAAGAATTACATAGAATTAGAATACAATTTATAGTAGAATATACATATATAAATGGTTAAATATTAAAGTTTTCATAAATAGTAGTTAAAATAATAAGTTCTAATAAAATTAAATTTATTTTATGAAACTTGAAAAATAAAAAATTAACAAAATGGAATAATCATTTTAATTAAAATTAAAATCAAATAAATTTCTTAAAAACATCTATTTATTTATATCACTATCTATTTTAATATTTAAAGTGATTGTTCCATTTTACCACTTTCTTTATTTCAAAAATCATAAAATTAATTTTTTTTTAACATTGCAACGCTTTAAAATTGTCACTGGACTTGCCTCGCTATAGTAATAACTATTATAATGATCTATGAAACACTGAGTTTTGTCCGTGTACTTCGAAATGGTTTCATTGGTCCACCATTGTCGGAGATTTCCCACACTGTCGAAATGCCGGCCCTTATTGTCGAATCCATGAGTTAATTCATGCCCAAGTATCACGCCGATGGCGCCGTAATTTAAGGCTCTGCAATTTAAATAAAACGTTAATTTTTTTATCCTTTTTTCGTTCTTTATTATATATAACAACCTCACGAAAAATTCATGCTTTTTTACTTTTAATTTTTTAATTTTAAATATTTATTTTTATATTATTTTTTATATATAAAAATATCAACGAAGTAATTAACGAAATAATTCCTATTCTTACGCAAGACCCAATTCATAGAATGGAAATTGAAGAATTCCAGCAGGTATGGCTGCAGGTGTGAATAATAAAAAAAGAGGGAATATGTTAATGTAACATTGGTAACAACAAAAAAAGACAAAGCTTTTTTATATAGATTATTAGTATTTATTTTAACAGTATAACATATCTATTCTAAATTAATCTGCGTTCATTTAATGATAAAGGGTTAAATTATTACGTACTTATATGATTAAGTTGCATGCTATGTATTGCGTTTACGTCGGTAGGATCAGTTGCCCAGCTGATCATCCATAATGAAGCGAAGCAATAAAAAAAAATAAAACCTTAGCATTGATTTTTATTGTCGACAATTCTCTAAATTTTTCACTTACTATGACTCACTATCTAAATTTTCGTCTTGTAAGCTCGTCCACATGGCGTTCCATTGCAATCGAACTATTTGTACCATATTCTCCAGGTAATTCGTTTCCGACAGACTTATCTAAACATTAACATATTCGATATTATGCAAAATATATTACAAATAATACTGTTACATTATGTGTTAAGTTGATCTTGATAAAATAAAATAAATGACAAAAAATTATTTATAGATGATTGAATTTTAATGAAATAAATGTACATACGTATACCTAATAAAAATTATACAATTAAATGAAAAATTTTTAATGCGCATATTTATTTGCGCAAAACAGATTTTTCACTTATTATTGTAGAAAATTATTTTACAATTACTGTATATTTTTAATTACTATACATATATCTTTTTACGAGACTTACGCCCTTGTAATATTTATCGAGCTTTTCCTCGTCGAGGAGCCACGTGGGGAATCCAATTGCCGAACCCATATTTTGACTCTTTTCGAGTGTTGCCGTTTTCGTCGATTGATCCATCCAATCCGTGTTAATGACAAGCGAGGCGAACGATTCTGTTATATCATATAGCATTTCCTGCACTTTATTAATTTCGTTATCGTGGAATGTTGGGTCTACGAACAGCCACGATACAGCCATTCCTAGAAGTTGATGATAAACACTATTAATTGAAAGTATCTAAAGTATGTATGTATATATGTATATATATATATATATATATATATGTGTATACATTAGAGTGGGCCAAAAAAAAATTTTTTTTAATTAGTTAGTAATCCCCCCAAAAGTTAGCTATGAGCCTCAATATGGTTCAGGTAAAATTTCATCGAAATCGATTAATATCTTCAGGTTGCCCCTCGATCTTGCAGTTAGTAAGTTTATGCATTTCTTCATAGATGAGTCAAAGTTCGGAAAAATATTTAAATTTCAATACAGTTTAGTATTACCTGCTGTTTTTTGGTTGCTAAACACGAATTCGAGGTCAGAAGTATACATTTCAAAATGACGGATCTAAAATATATTTTTAAGTAATAATTAAGATTTCTCGAAAAATATGATAAATATGGAGAATGTTTCAAATAAAAATTGTACATATGGTTTGGAGAGGTACATAAGAAAATATTATTAATTTTATTTTAGGCGTCGTTAAGATAAGGTCAAGATCACATCGATATTTTAAACGAAATTACATATTTTTTACATAATACGATTTCTCTAATTATTCTGCATATAAAAGTATTGAAGTAAAGTTATCGAAAAATCAATATTTTACGAGATCAATATTTTATACTTTATCATGTCATTTTTTTCGATATATAATATGAAATATCTCATAAACTATTGATTTCTTGATAATGGTACCTAATATTTTTAGGCGCAGAATAATGAGATAAATCGATTGGTGTAAAGAAAACACAGTTGCTTTTAAAATTTGTAAGAAATGCATAAACTTACTAATTTCGAGGGGCAACCTGAAGATATTAATCAATTTTAATGAAATTTTACCCAGACTATATTGAGATCCGTAACCAACTTTTGGGGAGTATTACGAATCGATTTTCAAAAAAAATTTTTTTTGGCCCACCCTAATATATACATATACATATATATGGGGCATTTTCTGTCAAGCGAGCCACTGTCCATTTCAATTTTTTAGATGAAATACTTCAAAATTCTTAAAATTTTTGTAGAAGTGTCTACTTTTTGATGTCATATGGCCTTTTTAAAAATCCAAGATGATGGACTTAGAATTGCGATTAGAATGGACGTTTGCCACAAAATTTTTGGAACAAACTTTAATTACTGAAGCACAGGGGACTAGATCATTTTTCTATTTCCATAAATTAAAGTTTTGGGGGTCGCTAAATACGACCATCTCCTTTCCCTCCAAATCTGATAACAGTTGTCAACTTAACTTGAAACTTCTTTGTAATTAATGTCTTATTATAGAGATTTTGGCACACAGTTTCAAATTCAATCTCAAAATCGAGGGCCCAAAAAATGGGCGATTTTTAGGGTCACTCTTTATTTAAGTTTTAAATTAATATTGTACATACCCATTAATTCATTTGCAATTACTGCACAGGTCATTGAGCGTGGTTTGCCTACTTCTACATCCATTAAATCATTCACGTATTCGTACCAAATATTTCTGAGCTTTTCGGAAGAGTGAGGCACCACAATCTTCACGACGCTCCACCAAATATAGCTTTCTGAATCAAAAGTAAATCGAATTTTAGAAAAACATTTTTGAAAAGTAAATGGCAAATTTAAATAAGAGAAATAATTTTATGCGTACCTAGATCTTGCTCTGAGTAAGTAGATAATATTAATGCAGCATTTTTCAAATACTCCAAATACTTGCCGACAAGAATTTTATCTCTGTTATCAAGATCCAACTTAGCGATTCCCTCAAAAAGGGATTCAATGAAAGGACGCCAAATCGGTTTAGGTGTGATAGACGAATTAATATTGTTCATTATATACTCGTCCGTCAATCTTTGCAAATCATCTACTAGCATATAATCGCTATCGCTCAAGTTTTCTGTAATACTCTGATTTTTTTTATCTGCACGACGAACCTACAAAATAATTGAATTTTTATTCTTCTAATTGAATACATAATATTTCCCAAAATTTGTATTTAAAATAAAATTTTGCAAAAAAATATTGCAAAGCGTAATAAAGATAGAGATTTACTTTAAAAATTTTATATATTAAAAGGAAAAAAGTTTATATGAGTTGGCGCGGTAAATGTTGCGCAATGAAACTATTCTTTTTCTTCTTACAATATAAATTTAATTAATTCTGTTCGATAAATGTTTTGGCTTAAATTCGAAGCCATCTTCAGCAAAATTATAATAAATTAAGTACAGAAGCAATTAAAAACTTGAAAAGCACGCAGTTATTAATTTAAGATAATTGTTCAGAACCCGTTGCTGCATAACTGAATGGAAAGTGTTATGCGCCTAATGAACGAAATTAATTAAGAAACGTGCATTCATTTTTAATTTGCAACTCCCATAGCCATTTTTGTTTTTAATATTAGATTTTAATTTTGAAAGTACTGAGATTTTTGAATTATCTTTAAGAATTTTGTTTACGCGCGAGAACATATTAAAATTAATTTGAAAATATTTTGATTTAATCGGAAAGTACTTACGTAATAGAGGGTGTTACTAATATTGTAAAGTATATGGACAAATTTTTCCAATTCATTTCCCAGTATCGTCGATTCATTGTTCGAGGTACATTCATCAACAGTGCCATTGCTAAGGACTTGTTTAATAACATCCGTTATATAGGTAATCTCAGCTGCCTCAGCTTCTTCCTTCTCGTTTAACTTTTTATTATCAAAATCATCCAGTTTTCGCAATCGCGATTTGATATTTTGCAACCGTTTCTTTAATTCTTTATTGCTATTATTACAATAAAACGTTTGTTATTATATGTATTAATTATATAACATTATAAGTAATATAAATATACAAAACATTTAAAAATAATTATTAAAAATCATAAAATAGAAGTATACTTACGTAAAAGTAGGAAAAGGATTGGAATGACTCGGGTAGTAGAATGCGATTATATTATTGCTGTTGTTCTTTGGATCGGGCTCAACATCGAAACCAAAGAAAACGTCATAGCCCAAATTTCTCTTTACACTGGCAAGTTGTTCGATGTAATTTGA